ATACAGTATATAACACATTAGCGATGTTGGTGGTGGAATAAACCAGTTCTCCTTTTTCATCATTAAACTTTTCAATATAATTCTTCGATTTATTTTCCTTAAGTCTTTTCATGAGAAATTTTCCTGGCTTATTCCCCCATCAGTATCTTTCCTTTGAAACCCTGTTAAATATCTTCTTTGTTTCCTGTTCCAATTGGTCTTCTCTTTTAAGTATAATCTTCGAGTATATCTCCGTATCCTGTTTCTTTTTATGTGCCTGCTCTAAACCATGTAACTATTCCGTCACCCCTTTTACTTTTCTCTCCCATTCTTTCTTTTTTTGGCCCTGAAATTATCAAAATTCCCCTAATATACACCTTATGTGCCTCTCAAATAGTGGCCACCACCGAAAATTCTTTGGTTTTGTTTAACAGAAAAGATCGATCTATTTCCTCCCTCAACCTTCTTTCTACCTTGGGGTCCTGTATAAGCATTCAACATACAGTGTGTGTGTGTGTGTGTGTGTGTGTGTGTGTGTGTGTGTGTATGTGTGTATATATATATATATATATATATATATATATATATATATATATATATATATATATATATATATATATATATATATAATTTTTTTTTTTTTTTCAATATATGTCAATATATTTGGGAAAAATATTTTTTAAAATATATATGTTTTCCTCGGTGTGGAGGTGTTGGGGCAGTTGGTAGGTTTTTTTGTCTCCTGTCTACATTGACCCTAGTACTGCATACGTGTGAGATAGCGACCTTATATTAAAAGGTCCTTGAGGACAGGGACTTATGACGTGAAAGAATAAATAAATAACCCACTTGTAACTTTGTCAACACTTGTTCAAGTAAATATTTTTACTTACAAAGGGGGAAATCTGCATTTTCCAGCCCCAGAACATTAAGATTTAATCTGGTAGTATAAAAAAAAAACATGGTTTTTCATAATAGAAACTATTTTGGCAGAAGGGGCCTCAACATTTCTTTAGCTGTTTCCATACTGTATGACCCACAAATCTATCTGGTAGTCAAAAGTAGAATTAAACCCCAAAACAATAATGTAATAGACTTCAGCTTACCAATTCTTAGATGTGGTGGCTGCATTAGTTTTCTATTTATAGTCTTTTTTTTTCACCTGGTGATCCATCCAGTATGTCTGTTATTTGTCAACTATCTTTAACAGACCAAGCTGTCCAGCAAAAGAAGTCTATAACAGAGTTTTCCTTGTTTCTTATTCCTTTGTGTGGTCTACAGTACAATCTGTTAGTAACATTTTATCTTTGCATGTTTTGCTGTCCTCTGTACATGTCATTTGTTCTTGACCCTTTTCAGAACTACTTATAGAAATCTTAAAGCAAAAAATCTTTAGATTGTTAATTGCATTTTGTTCAAATGTTGTGCTCTCATTGCACATTATTATTTTTTAATGATGTTTACATTTTACAGGTCTCTGTACTTAAACCTGTTAGGACTATGGGCAATATTGGCCTGTGCTGTGATCTCAGGCCTCATTCTATATTCAGTGTATAAAGATTGCGATCCATGGACCTCAAAACGTGTGTCTGCTCCTGATCAGGTATGCATTTAACAAGATTTAGCATCTTTCTGAAGAAGAGGGTTCTTCCCTTGAAACGCATTAGCTGGTGGGTCTAAGTGATGTCAGGATTGTGGTAATATTTGTTTTGAATAGAACTACTCTGCCACGTGGGTTGTGTTTATATCACTGTTTAGCAGTTGGCTATTGTGGGTATGCTCATTTCTATTGTGGGTATGCTCATTTCTATTGTGAGTATGCTCATTTCTATTGTGAGTATACTCATTTCTATTGTGAGTATGCTCATTGGATTTATTTAATAAAAAAATGTATATTTGTTAATATAGTGGCCTTTGCATCCTTTTGTTTTAGTTTGTGTTAGAAAACAGTTAACCTCTTGCCAACCGCCGTATAGCAGAAATAATTGCTACAGGGCGGCATGGCTGCGCAAAATCACGTACTGTATATATACATGATTTAGCATTTCAGGGTAGGGGGCGCGCACCCTACATGCGCTTCCATTTGCGGCTGCAGCTGTCAATCACCGGGTCCCGGCTGGTAATTACTCGCTGGCGCCTGTAGATTTCCGAAGCTCTGCAACGGGGAGAACTGTTTTGTTTACTAAAAGTTCTCCTCCCTGTCAACTCAAGCACACTGCTCTGGATGGCTGTGCACAAAAATGTCAAAAATGCACTTTCTGCAGCATTTCCATTGAAGTCTATTGAACCAAAAATACAAACTTTTGTGTTTTTAAAAAGTCCCTGACCCTTTCCAAAAACACAGTGGCTCAAAAAAGCATAGAGGTGAACGTGTCCTATAGGAAACCATGTTAAATGGACTGTATTGTGTTTCTACACCCAACCTGCAAGTGCATGTAATGAACACGTTTTATGGTGCTGTAGGATTTTAAGGATTAGGCCCCATTAACACGTGAGCATTTTGTAGTGTGAAGCTCAAAGCTCCAAAAGCTCAAGGGGAAAAAAAAAATCAATTTTACCCTATGAAGATGGTTCACATCTCCATTCCAAGTACCCTGAAGCTGAACAGCTGAAGCTCAAAAAAAGTTTTGGAACTACTTTTGTAGCTCAAATTGGGTAGATTTGCATGTTTTTGGCGCATTTATTTCCATAGAAAAGAAAAAAAAACGTGATTGCCGCATTTTTGAACATTTTAATGTGTGTTTTGTGTGATTTTCTGCTCAAATGAAAAAGATGTAAAACAAAAAAAAATTAATAATATATGAATAAATAAATGTAAAATGAGTAAAATAAAGACACATATAAATAAAAAAAATCATGATAAATAATTAACTGAAAGAAATTATTAATAATAATAATAATAACAAATAAACACCCGAACAACAATTACATTATTATTATTATTATTATTATTATTTAAGAACAATAATAATAATAAAAAAAATATTATTATTGTATTACTTTTTTAGATTTTAGGGGATTACACTTATGGGTTAATTATTATTAAATTATTATTAGAAAAAATTTATTTATGGTTATTTTTATTTATTTGTGTATTCTACATTCATTTATTCATTTTGTATTATTTTATTAATAATGTTTTTTTGTTCAAGGTTTTGGTGTTTATTTTTTATAAATAATAATACAAATTATTATTATTATTATTGTTATTATTATTAGTAATAATAATAATATGTTTAATATATTTTTTAAGGACTAATTATTAATTTTTTTTTATTACATAGTATTTATTAATTATTAGTTTTATTTATTTGTGTATTTATTTTGCATTTATTCAATCATTTATTATTATTATTACCCTAACCCTAACCAAATATAAATAAATAATAAGAAAATAATAATATACTAACCCCAAAAACCAAACCCTAACCCCTAATCCTAACCCTAACCTAACCTTAACTTTAACCCCTTACCCTAACAAAAAAAAAACAAAAAATAATAATACATTATTTAATGATAATAATAATAATAATAATAATAATAAAAAGAGAAATAAAAGCTGATGGAAAAGCTGAAGCAGAAAAACCTAGCAACAAATGATGCAACAGATGATACTTTTCTTTATTGGCTAATAAAAAAATGCCAAAGCTCAAAAATGGCTAAAAGCTGTATGAAAGCGTGCATAAATGGCACAAAAAAATCTCAGTAAAATATGTGTGAAAAATGCTGAAAAACTCTACGCTCAAATGTGAATGGTGCCTCAAAGCAGAACTAAGCTCACTTTCACTCCAGCACTGCAGCAAGCTGGAGCTCCCTCCTGCACACTTACACCTTAAGGCTGGTCTGCTTCCGGACACGGCTGCTGTTAGAAATCACGGGGCCCCGTACAGCAGGGCTCCCCCACCTCCCTTGATAACATCAAATTATATTTTCACTAGAAAAATCATTATTAGTGGACACAAACACAACATAACTTACAAAATTCCTGGCGAATCTAAAAGATAAAAGTGTATTGAGCTAATAAAGCTGTGTGATTGAGGTCTTGGGGCTCATTCACATGGGTGCTGTGTCCTGTACAGTGTGAATCAATGTGTTTTTTATATGGCTATTACTGTGTGCAGGCAGCCTATATTACACCATGGGGATGCAGTAGTTGTATGAATACAGCCACAGGTCCTAATTTGAAAGGCATGTGGACGCAGGTGTATGGCCTCCAAACACAGACAGTGTGTATTCGGGGCCCCTCGCTCACACCTGCACACTTATCAGATTAGGACCTGTGGCAGTGTTCATGCCAGCCACTGCATCCTCATCGAGTAACAGGCCGCTCCAGCCACACTAACAAACCGCTCATTCACACTCTATGGGCCAGAGAACCCATATCAATGAGCCCTTATTTTTTTAATTCTTCTTTTCAGTTTTTCAAAATATTTTTTTTTACAATGTGTTTTTTTTTTTTATATTTTTTAAATTATTTTTATTATTTTTCTTACAACACTGGGCGCGGGGGGGGGGGGGGGGGGTTGTTGTCTGAGGTCCACACAAACCCCTGACATCTCACCTTTGAGACAGAGAAAGGACATAGATTCTTCTATTCCTTTCCCTGTGGCCTCAGCTACACGGAATTTAAATGACAGGAGACGGGGGATCCTGTTCATTGATAAACTGAAGCCTGTGCCCTTTTGATATTTTCAGGGGGGCCCTGTCAGGTAGGCTGTACGGGGCCCCATGATTTCTAACAGCAGCCCTGGTTGGCAGCACTGGTGTGTGTGCCTCTCCCTCCAGCAGCTGAAAGCCGAGGAAGAGGGTGAGGAACCGGCTTTGAGCTGCTGCAGAGAGCTGTACAGGTCATCATTCTGCAATTGCTGCCCCCTCCCGCTCGCCCCACCGATCCCTCTGCTGTCTGGGCCCCCTGTATGCCTGGGCTTCCTACAGGAGGACTGGAGGTACCCCCCTATTGGCAGCCCTGCTTCCGGATCAGGGGCAGGGGGCCCCATTAGATGCCCCTGGTACCTTTTTCATAGGCTTTTTTGAGTTTGGGCAAGGGCACAGGGGCCCCATGATCCCCTATTGCCCGGGGCCCCATGAGTTGTCAGTCCGCCCCTGCTTGTTCCGTTTTGTTTTTGTAAAAACTTTATTTGAAGTCTACAAAAGTACACTTCATTCATGATGCTGTACAGCAGCACAATGCGCAGCTCTGCTGTACAGTGCCATGCGGTTCTGTACAGTGCACACTGAGATCAAATGCAACCTGTCTGTATGGTATCGCTGCACACTGCATTGCAATGTGACCGGGATGCACAGAAAACAATTGTTAGAGTTTCTAATTTAACCCTGAATGAGCAGAATTCAGATTTTCTCTAAACACAGCTAAACTGAATGCACCTAAACACAGGAAAACACACAGTATGGTGGTACTTTTAAAAATCATTACATGCATTTGGAAATGTGCCCTAAATGCATATTAGGCTCCATGCACACTAGGCGTTTTAATAACGCTGGTAACGTTAGCTGTGTAAAATCGCATTAAAAGCGTGAGTTTTTAGAGCATTTTTTAGCATTTTGCATAAGCGTTTAGCAGCGTTTTGACGTCTTTGCGTTTAAAAAAAAAAAAAAAAACTGGAGGGTAAAAAAAAGTCCAAAAATGTCGATTTGCTGCGATTTACCACTTTTTACTGCGTTTTGCTGTGTTTTTTTAGCATTGGAGCGTTTTTACAGCTAAAAAACTCCTCTAGAAAACCCACTAGTCCTGGGTTTTTTTTTTCCAGACAAAAAACACCCCTGCCAAAAAACGCTGATTACAGTCTATATGTGCATGGACACATAGGATAACATGCTGGGGGGTTTACTGGCTGTAGAAAAAAACGTCAAAAGCCAAAAACAGCCGCTGTAAAAACATCAAGTGTGCCTGAGGACTAAATGCAGGTTTGGCACTGCCAGTGTGAATGAACCTAAAGCGACAAATAAAACAATATTTTTATGGAATATTCCTAAGACGCTGTAAATATTACTAAAGCCCAATTTGAATAGAACTCACAACAAAGAATCCCATTTATAGTGTTATCAGCCTCATACAAAAGCTATTGTAAAAGTAAACTATTTTGTAAAGTTCCACAATAAGTACACGTGATCACTATTTGTTTATTATCCTCACCTGAATGTTTAAACAGAATGGGTGTTTCATTGTGAAATTTGGCATCCATACAGCATTACCTATCCAAAACAAACTGCTCTTTTCTGGAAAGAATGGTTGTGTGATTCACACAGTTCATATTCCGAGTACTATTTCCTTGTAATATGAGAGCATCAGAGAAAACCTGTCATAACATAACTTTCTGCTACTGACATTGCCTCAATATTATATGATGTGAAATGTATCAAATTGGAATAGAACTTTCTGATATGTAATCTTTTTTATAATATTGTATTCCAATGATAAGAAAAAAATTAAAAAACGTCTTTATCATTTCAGCTAATGCCTTACCTAGTGCTAGATATTCTCCAGAACTACCCAGGAGTGCCTGGCCTGTTCGTAGCATGTGCTTATAGTGGCACTTTAAGGTGAGCAGTCAATAATCCACAAAACAATATTTAAAAAAAAAAAAAGCATGCACAGGTTTTCTTTGACATATTTATTTACAGTATATGCCAGTCTACTTGAATATGATATCTTGGATAAAATCTGGTTTAGGTAACCTCTGTCTACTGGGTTCCATTGTTGAGATCTCTCCAATAGTTCCCAGATTTCCCACCCACCTTGGTATTATTTAGGAGTTCCCCCTCTTTAGTATGTTTTTTGCACTTGCTATGTTATAAAAAATTCAGGTACACCATGGCATTGGCATCTACCAAAAGCTGAAGTATCTGTTTTTTGTGGACCTACCCTATAAAATATTATTTTGAAGCAAAGGATAATAATGATGATAAAACTGTTATAACCCGCTACACCCAATCAGTTATGTTTTATAATAGACAAGTTTAAAGCCTAGGTTTAGTTAAATAAAAAGTAAAAAAAAAATCAAGACATAAGAGTTACTTCACATAATTAATTGTATTTGCTTTAAAGCCAAAGTTTAGTTAAAAAAAAAAAAAAAAATCCGCATACTGCAAGGGACATTACTTACTACCAATCCTGTGTGCAATATTCATGAATAATAGAGGTTTTAAGAGGGATATACAGAATTCTTTAGGAATGAACCGTTTGAGCCACGCATAATGTACTTTTTTATTAATGAGGAACTTTGGTCCCTTTTCTTAAAAAATGAAATGTAAACAGCTACAAATACTGTAGCTGCTGACTTTTGAAAAACAGACACTTACCAGCCCAGGGATCCAGCATTGTCATCACCCGGGCTGGTTTTTCACTGGTCTTCAGGTCCCCAGTGCCACCCTCTTGACTGTGAGAAACTGGCTGTGACTTCTACACTGTGCATGTGCTTTTAGAATGATGTGTCCCAGAAGGTTGTGGGTGCGGGAAGAGGGGGGGGCGAACTTCCACTATTGTCACCTAGGGGGAAAAAGCGTAAGTGGGAGTGAGTACCTGTCAGAAAACAGTACCCTCTTTCTAAAAAAAAAAAAAAAAAATGTTTCAATAGCGGCGTTAGGAGAAGAGAGAGGGAGTATGAGGATTAGAGTAACCTTCAATATTATGGGAAGTTCCACTTTAAAATGGCACAAACCAACTGTGTGCAGTAACCCTTAGCAGTCTGTCAGGAATCAGGTTGTAGCTGTCAGGAATGCATTCACCACTGGTGGTTGGACTCACCTGCCGTGTGGGCTGCAGTACCAGGGCTGGCCAGCGGGTGCACTCAGCAACCAGAAGCTCACTCCTGCAGTCAGCCATCACCTGAGGCTGATTGCAGGAGGTGTATTTAAGGAATGGCCAGACCTGCAGTCAGTACCTTGGTGTATTGTTTCCCATGAGCCCCTGTACCTGGTATCCTGTGTTCCTGTTCCTCTGCCTATCTTCTGTTGCCAACCTCTGCAGTGTTGCTGACCGTCTCCTGTTTAACCCCTGGCTTGCCTGACCATCCTTCTGCCTGACCCTCTGTACCGTGCTGCCCGTGAGTTACTGAACCCGGCTTGTGACCCTGACCATTCTCTGCCTGCTCCTTCGGTACCTCGCTTCCCGCACGTTGCTAACCTGGCCTGCCTGATGGCGCCTTACGCTACCCAGATGATCCATCCATCCATACTAAGATTAGTGGAAGGTTGGTTTGTTTACTGTGCGTTGTATATTTGGGTGGCTAATAATAAATTGTATTATTATATCATTCCTGAAGCCTGTTACTTCCCTGTGTCAGTCCACACATTTCTGGTCATACCCGGATCCCTGACAGTAGCAGCTTGGCATGGGAAGTCTAGTGAAAGCTGATTTTTTTACTGGGTATTACAGGTCTGACTTTCTAAAGAACAAAGTCACATCCAGCTATGTGCAGAGAATAGTTTTGCTCTTTGCACTGTGTAAGGTTGTGGGCAAGGCTTAGGCACTCTAGTGGGGAACACTAAGAACCACACTCGCTAATTGCCTAGGTTCTAGGTAGGAGTTTGCTATCATGCAAAATCAAGGTTAAAGCACAACTCCAGACTTAGAAGTGAGCCGCAATGAACACAGTTAACCCTCTAGCAACCCGTGGCTAACTCATTATACTGTTAACACTAAGCACTCCAGACACTACCACAGTTTCCGGGAGTGCAGCATTTAGGAACTGGCTCCACAGAGCCTGTACTGGCATCCACCAACCCAGAAATACCAGTCACCTCACTCCCAGTGACATGTCCACTGTTGCTATCAGATACAAGGAATGCACTTCACTAACAACTACATTCTTTTTCTCTCTCAGGGGGCCTTCTACATGACTCTCTCTCCTGTGACTCCCAGACTAGGTCCCTAGGTACACTGTGCTGCAGGTCCGATTCCAGTATGTGAGAAGCTGGCTGCTAGTGAAGGAGCAAAGCATAACACCCCACCACTATCAGAGTAACCATCACCTAAGTCACCCATTCCCTTGCTGGTTGGCTTCCTTAAGCAATGATACATGTACGGGTATCCCTAGCAATGGCTATGTCACCTACACTAGACAGCAAACTACATGCTGGACTAAAATGTATTGCATCTCATCTAGCCTTCAGAACCCTTGTTACAAGCCTTGTTCTTTGGATACGCTATGCAATGCACCACTTAAAGAGAGACTTTGGACCAGTCAGTTAAAGGAACAAAAATAGTCTTTACTAAAAAAATTCAAAGGTACAGGAACAGTTCTTATAAAGCAACTTCTCACACGAAATCCTGTACAGAGGTGCTATAGTGCCCTTTGGGTAATCATACCTGAGCAGTAGCAAGTCCATAGTCCTTTAGAGGCAACAGTCCATTAAGGCAATAATTCACAAGGTAGCAAAGAGTCCATAGAAGCCATGATTGGCAAAGATTCTTAAAAAACAATCAGTCCACCATAGGTACCCAAAAGTTCCCAGGTTCCTATTCCTTCATAGAACCCCAACTGGCCCAAGGCTGGGGCTCAGTCTAGCAGCATGACAGCCTACATCTTGACAGTACTTCAGCAGAGAGTCCTCTGAGGGCACAGAAGAGTCCCTATTTACAGTATGTGGATCCCCAGAAAATTGGTGGGAAAATCTAGCCAATCAATTCCTGAGATCCACCTTGCATGTACATTGTAACAGGTTTAGTTTTTAAAAAGCCAGCTTGACCCAGATAGCTATAGGAAAAAAAAAAAACAGTTTTTAGGCACCTGCCCAAGCTTGTCATACACCTGTAGAAGTTTGTTGGAACGTTTGTATAGAAAATCAGAAAATTATTTGCCAGAACATTTGATCTTACGATCGAGATGGAAATTGAGATGACTACCTTAGTTTGAAAGCCCTTAACATTTCACTCAGACCTTCTACTTGAATGGAATCTGAGACATATCAAACAGGTATATTTTGTGCCTAGAACATACCCAGCACAATTTGGCTGTTTTTTTCAGATAAAAAAACACATTTACAGTTAGAATTTAGTTCAGGAAAAAAAAATCCACTCTACTCTTTTTACTTTTCTCATCACTACAGTTGAAAATAATTGTTGCTTTGACCCTACTAACCATTTAAAAATCAAACATGAGGAAAAAAAGTTTTTTGGAACAAAATTCTACTGGTGTATGGTCAGCTTTAGT